GTGGGGATGGGGTGGATGTCCTTGGGGGCGGCCCGGGACTGTGCATGGCCGGCTGGCTGGCCCCTTTCCTGTGGTGGGGGCTCGCTCCCGGTGCTTCCTTGCACTGTCGGCGGTTGGGCGGGCGCTCTTGGCCGGGTCGTCCTGGTGGGGTTTGGCTCCATCTGGTAGCGGGCTGACTGCGGTCTGTGGGGGTCCTGGTGGCCCTCGGGTGTGTAGGCTGCTGGTGCGGCTTCTGGCGGCCCTCGGGGCTCTGTCCCTCTCTGGTCTGGAGCTCAGCGGGCCTGGCGGTCGGTCCAGATGGAGAGGTGTCTTGGCCTCAATCCCTGGGTGGACCTTGGGGGGCTGGGGGGGGGGGGGCTGTTGGGTCAGTGGGGGAGCTGACTCCCTGTGGGAGCATTTGCTCTCACAGTTATTTCTCCCCATCCCTCACCATGCACCTCCACCCTCTTCATTTCAATTCCATACATTTAGGGTTGTTTGGGCTCGGGTGTGCTGCAACAATTTTACATCTTTGTTGACCATAGCCACCTGGGACTCAATTTTATTGTACACCTTAGACATTCATTCATAACATCCTCATGACATTCATATATAGGAATTTGAAGTGGGCACATGGCTATGGGTGGTGGGCTGACCTTACTCTCACCCCCTGTGCCTGTGCTCACTTACAACGGTTACATTTAGACACTAGGGTTTGGATAGAGTTGGGGTGGAGGGGAAACTGGCACCTTGCCAGCCTTTGCTCCTTCTTCTTTCCTTTTTAATGGCACTCTACAACAACACACATCAACAGCACATCTAGGGGTGGGGGTGTATGTGTCGGGGTCTTATTTTTATTTATTTATTTATTTTTTTCTCCTCTTCCTACTCACCTAGTTCCCTGACTGCCATTCCGGGGGTGGGGTCCGGGAGAAGGGCAGGCCGTCGGGTGTTGACCAGGACTATGTGGGGGTTCAGGGTCTGGGGGTTGCCATGGGCGGTGCTGGCGCTGTGCTCTCCCTGGGGTTGTTTGGACCCCCTGAGCTTGGCTCTTGGGTACCATGGTTGGCCCGCTGACCGGGGTGGCTGCCGGGGCCTGGCGGGCGGTCGGCTGGGGGTGCATGCTTGGTTGTTGGCGGTGTGTGGGGGTGGTTGGTGGCGTGTCCTCTTCATGGTGGGGGGGTGTCCTGTCGGCGGGGCATGGCCTGGGCCGGTTCTGGGGTATTGGCTCTTCTCCGCTCAAGAATGAATGGGTTTACCTCCTGGGTTTGGGCATGGGCTGCCCCCTGTAGAGGGCGGGTACATGTCTTGGACCTGGGGGGTTTAGAGTGTGTATCGGGAATAAGAATGAAATGTATCGTTATTGTATGTCTTTGAGTGAATGAATGTGAGATTGAGGTTGGGATAGTGTGATTGTGTCTGTGTATGAATGGGTATTTGTTAGGCCAAGACTCGGACTGCCCCCTCTTTGATACAACTGGGGGTGCTTGGCATCGCGCCCCTATCGCGCGGCCCCCTGGTGGGGTGTGCCCTTGCCTGCCGGCACGCTTGGGGCCCTTGGTATCGGGGGCTGGGCGCTTGGGCGTGTGTCGGCTCGGCCTGGTGTCTGCCTGGTGGGGCTCGGGTCCTCTGGCCCTGTCAGGCCTTGGCCTGGGTGGTGTGAGTCCTCAGTGCCCGGGCCTCGGTGCCTGGACCTGGACCTACATCGGTGCGGCAGGTGCCGACGGGGACCTATGAGTTTGTCGCTGTTGGCCCCGGGGGGTCACTGTATGTGGTTGCTGGTGGGGATCTTCCGGTTCTCCCCTGTGGTCCGTTCTGGGGGGTGGGTGAGTGGTTCGTCCTGTGTGGGTGGCTCTGGGGGCTCCGCGGTCGGGGTCCCTCCTGGGGTCTTGGGCTCTGGTCCCCCCTTTTTCGTCTGCCTCTGGTCTTGGGGGTCGGGTCTCTGCTGCTTCACAGTTACTAATAAATGTTCTATTAGAGAAGCCTTATACACTTATGCATGCTCACAACCACACACAAATAGAAGCAGGGATGCTTATGTAGGCTTTATATGTAGATATATAGATATGTATGTGAGTGTATATTCATGTGTATGTATGTATGTATGTATATAGGCGTAGGTATGGGTATATATATTTATGGAAACTTACTGCAAAGCCATGAATATTTTAAGTTCTTTATACATATGTATTTTGTTGCTGTGTTTTGTCATGTTCTTTGCAGGTGAACAGACAGTGGCCGGGTGTTTTGACGTGTGCTCTCTTTGTGTATATTTCTTATATTTTGGAGTCTTACTTTGTCTTTTCTTTCTTTCTATCCTATTAAAAAAAAAAAAAAAAACTACACTAGATAGTCACTATAATAAATATTTCATAATAATGGTGTGGAGAGGATGGCTGTAAGGGGAGAAGGGAGGCCATCACAAAAAAAAAAAAAAAAAAATGTGGTGATGACCAAACACAGATCATCTGGTGTTGAAAGCTACTGAATAGTAGTGAGTTTTTAAACGGGACTTGAAAACCGAGAGGGAGGGGGCCTGTCTGACAAGCAGAGGTAACTCGTTCCAGAGTCTTGGTCCTGCTACAGAGAAGGTCCTGTCACCTCTGCGCTTAAGACGAGTTCCTGGATTGTGGACACATGGACTCTGTCTTACTACGGCTGACTTTCATTCCTCTTCTTTTAAGTGCATACCTCCACCTCTCCAAGTTCTCTTCCACCTGTTCCCTGTTCTCACCACAGATCACAATGTCATCTGCAAACATCATAGTTCACAGGGATTCCTGCCTGACCTCATCTGTTAGTCAGTCCATCACCAGAGCAAACAAGAAGGGGCTCAGAGCTGATCCTTGATGCACTCCCACCCCCACCTTGAAGCTATCTGTCACTCCTACAGCACATCTCACCACTGTCCTGCTGTCCTCATACATGTCCTGCTTTATTTATTTATTTATTAACCTTTATTTAACCATGCAAATCCCACTGAGATCATGCATCATGCATGTTTTTGTTCAGTGGGAGGAAACCTGGAGAAAACTCACGCAAGCATGAGAAGAACATGCAAACTCCACACAGAAAGACCCCAGGTCCAACCGGGGATTGAACCCAGGACCTTCTTGCTGTGAGGCAACAGTGCTAACCACTGAGTCTGAGTCCTGCTGTCCTCATACATGTCCTGTACCAGTCTAACATACTTCTCTGCCACTCCAGATTTCCTCATGTAACACCACACCTCCTCCCTTGGCACTCTGTCAGATATTTTTTCTAAATCCACAAAGACACAATGGAGTTCTTTCTGACCCTCTCTGTACTTCTCCATCTGCATTCTCAAATCAAAAATGGATCTGTGGTGTTCTTTCTTGGCATGAAACCATCCTGCTGCTCACAGATAGTCAACTCTCATCTAAGTCTTGCTTCCACAACTCTCTCCCAGATCTTCATCGTGTGGCTCATCAACTTAATTCCCCTGTAGTTGCTACAACTCTGTACATCACCTTTGTTCTTAAAAATGGCCACCAGCACTTCTTCTCCATTCCTCAGGCATTTTCTCACGCTCAAATATGTCATTGAATATTTGAGTCAAAAACCTCATTGCCATCTCTCCAAGACATTTCCAAACCTCCACTGGTCATCAGGTCCTACTGCCTTCCCCTTCTTCATTCTTTTCAGAGCTTTCTGGACTTCACCCTCACTAATCTTTCCCACTTCCTGGTCCACAGTTTCTATGACCTCTACGCTTCTTTCTCTTTCATTCTCTTCATCCATTAGCTCCTCAAAGTACTCCTTCCATCTTCCCATCACACTCTCCTAACTTGTTAGAACATTACCATTCCTATCTTTAACAAGCCTAACCTGCTGCACATGCTTTCCAGCCTGGTCCCTCTGTCTCATGGTACAAGTCCTTCTCACCCTCTTTAGTGTCCAGCCTCCCATACATCTCATCGTACACCCTCTGCTTTGTCTTAGCTACCTCCCTCTTTGCTCTACGTCTCATCTCCTTATATTCCTGTCTCCTCTCCTCAGTCCTCTCTCTGTCATATTTCTTCTTGGCTAACCTCTTTCTTTGAACATCTTCCTGCACTTCACTATTCCACCACCAGGTTTCCTGATCATCCATTCTCTGTCCAGATGACACACCAAGTACCTTCCTACCTGTCTCTCTAATTACTGTTGTCAGTTTATAAATAAGCTGATGATGTCATCAATACTTAAAGTTATAGGGACACAAAGCTCAACAGAGACAGGACTTTTATGAGTGTAGCTGCTGTTCTAAACAGAACCATGGGGTGGTTCTGGTTCTCCTCGAGTAAAGATGAATAATGTCCAGTTGTAACTATATGAAGAGCTCCAAGTTAAACTCATTTGTCTAATGTTAGTGGAACATCTTTTTCTCTCCAACTTTCCAGACGTCTGAACGTCACCAACTCAGAATGAAAGCAAGAAGCCAGCTTCCTCTGACTCATCACTTTCTTTGTTACAGGGGTACTTTTACTAAGTCATGTTTTCATTTAAGCTTTTTAATAATTATGGCTGAGAGCAAGAAGCCCAAAAAAACCTTCTTATCTCTGCCCATGAACCATATGTTGGAGTTGTGTCAGAAGACTGCAACTGTCTTCTAGGACCTCCTGAGCTCTGTGAAGCTGACAGGAGGATTAAAGCAAGCATATAAACAGCTCGGGCTCATTTCTGCCACTCATTTCCATTTTATGTTCATTGTATGTAGATTTCTGGGACCTGTCCTGAAAGCAAACCTCAGAAGTATAAATACGAGTTAAAAACCTTCTCTGGTTCTTTAGAGTAAACAACGTCAGAGAATGAGAGAAGTTCTCCAACAAACACCTTCTCAGAGTCTGTGTGTTCAGTCAGAACCGGACTCGCTTGGACCCCTTGAGAAGCCGGGCCAGAATTTAGGGAGGCGAGCCGGTTTCAGGAACAGTGTAAAGACCTCAAACGCGCGTGAAGCCGGAAATATCCGACCCGCGCCGTGACAGTGGAAAAGGGGCATAAGAATCTGATGAAGATGAGGAGGAGGAACTTCGTAGACATTGTGAATAAAACCAACTATTCCATTTTAAAGTTGATGTTTAAACCATCACTTTGCAGAACATCATGATCTGATCATGTTTTAATGATGAAAAGACTGAAAACAGATGAAAACTTGAAACCATACTTCAGACAACAGAAATGACGCAAAGGAACCACACGTCTTTTATTATTATGAAAGTCTCCAGATGTTGTCACATGACCACAGGTGTAAACAAACAAGAAAAGAACAGCAAACAATATTTACATTGTCACATCTTGGCTAAAGAGTGCCTGAACAGCCTGCAGGTCTAAGCTCCGCCTTCACCGTCCAACAGCCAATCATAGCATGAATTGGATTTATTAAACACACAAAAGTTTTGTTTGTCAGCAGTGTCATGTGTCCAGAAACATTCAGACAGTTTGTTTACTTGTTTATTTGTTTATGGTTATAGATGAACTCACAATCAGATGTAATGTTCTGTCTGAAGTTTCTAATGAACATCAGACTTCTGCTGGAAGGACTCAACAAGTACAAGAAAAAATGTGTTGGTGGTCAGGAAATCCATCATGGAGGTGTGGCTATCTCTCTGCCCAGTCTGGTAATTCAGCTTCAGGTGTACGTGTCTCTGTATCTGCGCTGACCATCACCAATTAGCTGGGTCTTCTCACTGGCGTTGGTCGGCTGGTGGACCATCGGAGTTTCAGCATCTGCAGATGACAAGCCACAAACAGTAAAACACAACGCTGAGTCATCATCTAAACAAAACGTTGAGTTATCATTTAAACACAACGCTGAGTCATCATCTAAACACAACGCTGAGCCATCATTCAAACACAACGCTGAGTCATCATCTAAACACAATGCTGTTATCTAAACACAATGCTGAGTCATCATCTAAACACAGTTCTGAGCCATCATTCAAACACAACGCTGAGTCATCATCTAAACACAATGCTGTTATCATCTAAACACAATGCTGAGTCATCATCTAAACACAATGCTGAGTCATCATCTAAACACAATGCTGTTATCATCTAAACACAATGCTGAGTCATCATCTAAACACAATGCTGAGTCATCATCTAAACACAATGCTGAGTCATCATCTAAACACAACGCTGAGTCATCATCTAAACACAACGCTGAGTCATCATCTAAACACAACGCTGAGCCATCATTCAAACACAACGCTGAGTCATCATCTAAACACAATGCTGAGTCATCATCTAAACACAGTTCTGAGCCATCAGCTAAACACAACGTTGAGTCATCATCTAAACACAATGCTGAGTCATCATCTCTCCTTAGATGGCATTAATCTGGCCTCCAGCTCTAATGTTAAGAATCTTGGTGTTATGCAATCGGAGTTGTGATGCCTCAAACCGATTCCTCTCCTGCATTTAAAGATAAACCCAGAAAAAGTCTGTTTTGTGATTAAGTGCTGGTGGGGAGGGGTCGGGGGATGTGGGTGTGTGTGTGTGTGGGGGGGAGGGGTCGGGGGATGTGGGGGGGGGGGGGGGGCATTTTCACTGTGCTTAAAAGCTACAAAAGTCAGAACAAAACAAAACTGTTTGTTTGAAATCTCTAAGGGATTTTAAATAATTGTTAAGTTCAATGCAAAAATCAATCAATGGGACTCAAACCCCCAACTCTCCCATTGGAGGATGACTGCTTTAACCACTCAGCCACAACTGCCCCTGCATGGTGGTGTTCTTTTCATGCATCTTTGGTTTCCTCCAACTTCTCTTGTGTTCTGGATTTTTCGATTGTCTCCATTCCAAAACATGGATGTTAGGTTTCCTAGGTGTGAAGGTATGTCACAGAGTGACTGCAAGGACTGAACCCCCCCACCCTGACCCCTTACCCTGGAACCCCCGCCTCCACCCTCCTGACAGGACTAAGTGGAACAGAACATCATTTTTCAAGAACAAAGAACCAGTAACAACATTTGAAGGAAGATATTCTCACCATTGTCAGGATTGTTGCGGATCTCCTCCTCCAAGTCATCTGGGGACACATACTCAGGCTCCGCCCCTTCATCAGTGGCAGTTGGTTTAAGTTTTCCACAGCAGCAGTTGCAGCAGCAACAGAGACAGCAGCCACAGTAACATCCAGTCAGAATCCCACAGAGCAGGAACAGACCCTGGAACAGAAACACACCATCACATCACCACCTGGTTCCTGCCTGAGCATCAGATTGGTTAAAGCACCGCTCCCACCTTGGCCCACCAGGTGGACAGCATGAAGTAGGTGTTGACATTATCCTCTCCAAATTGCTGGGCCACATAGAGTCCCAAAGAGCCATATGAGTCATAGATGTTCCTCTTGGTGAAGTCGGAAAGAACAGCGTGGGCACTGTTCAGCTCCTTGAACTTCTCCGCTGCCTCTGGGTTGTCTGGGTTCTTATCTGGGTGAAACCGCAAGGCCAGCTTCCTGACATCAGAAACAAAATGTTGAGTTCTCTGACTGGGCATTAACTACCTGCAACCAAGCAGCAGGTAGTGCCACACAGAAAGAGAGAGCTCACAGAGTGCATGTCAACTGACTCTGCACCTGCTGCAGTTGAATAGGTGGGACTTTAGCTCACCTGTAGGACTTCTTGACATCCTCATGGCTGCAGCCTTTCTCCAGGCCAAGGATCTGGTACAGAGACTCTCCAGAAGTGGACAGTGTTCGCTGCTTCCCATCAGACATCCTGACAGCATCACCTGATACACCTTTACACTGAAAATAAGGAAAGGGGACAAGAGGACAATTCAACTTGGTTCAGTTTATTTCTGTAGCTCCAAGTCACAACAGAAGTTGTCTCAGGGCACTGAACAGAAACATTTACATACATTATAAAAGACAATTAGTAAAAGTATTTAAGGAAGCAGCAGAGGCTACAGATTGGGAGCAGACACAGATCCTTCAGGTAAATTACTCTGAGTACTTAAAATCATATTGCATTACCTATGACTCTGTAGACAATGTTATTTTGGAGCATGAACAAGTCCCTCGATCAAATGGTTGAGAAAAAACAGATCATGAAGCAGCATCAGACTTACTGGCCTCCCTACCACCCATCTTGTGGTCGGGAGGACCCACAGATGTGGGATTCTGTAGGGAACAAAGTCCATGCTCAATAATCCATACATCTCCTCCTACATGTCTCTGCGTGAGTGCAGCTACGGCGTGCGATTTCAGGACATCATTACCTGCAGTGTTCCCTCAGTGAGGACTGAACTAGGCAAAAGGACCTTCTCCTACTCCGCTCCTGTTTCCTGGAATACCTTACCAAAACAATTGAAGCTCTTGACCTTTGACCTCTCTAAGTGTCTTTAAGAATCTGTTGGACTCCTGGCAGGGACCAATGCTGACATGTTCCTGTTTTTAGTTTCTACATTTGCCTTAGAATCTAGCTGTTTTTTGTTACCTTTCTTTTAGCCATCCTATTTGTAAAAAAAAGCTGTAGTATGCTTTTTATAACTGTTTATTGTTGTTGCTGTTGTCCATTGTTTCATCTTTCTTTGTTGAAATCAGGTCTCTCTTGTAAATGAGTCCTCGAGGCTCAATGGGATTTACCTGTAGAAATAAAGGTTGAATGAATACAATCCAACATTTTTCAGTCAGGTCATCTAGACGGTTTCTTTTTTTGTGCTGAAACGATTCGCCTTCGGTCCAGAAGGCTTCATCAGTCAAGGAAACGCACAACAAAACTGATTCTTCCCCCAACAGCTTACTCCAAAGTGGAACAAACCAGTTCTGCTTGTAATAAGATGGTCTCTTTGGTACGCCCCCTCCTCCATTGCCGGCCCTCTTCCTTGTTGACAGTCATGTCAAACTGGTTGAAAACAACAAAGTCCATGCTCAATAATCCTGGTATACAATTCAACATTCTTCAGTCAGGTCAACAGGTCAGTGTTGGTTTTTTTAATTTCGTTGAGAGACTTGGGGTGATATCGCGGCTCTCCCCTTGACGTTGATCTGTCAATATGGCTCTTTTGAAAAAAAAAAATGAAAAAAGATCACTGCATTATAGGGCCAGGCATGAGAATGAAGTCCCAGACACATGCCGGGTAAACTCAGGTATACAACCATTCTACAACTTACTCACAGTTGCTTTATTGATAATTAATTCCTATTAATTTATTCTTTATTTCATTTCTAACCATCAAGCTTCCAGGAAGCAGATGTTGGATGAGGCTCTGTTGAATTTCATCCTGAAGGACTGCCAGCCAAACTTATTTTTTAGAATAAAAATTTGTTAAAAAAAAACAATCCCAGTCCACAAGCATCCTCATTCACAACACGTTCACTTGTATTTTCATGTTATAATACATGTTCACATTATTTATTGACTGTATCTAAAAATATCAAAGATATTTTAAATTTAAATGAAAATATGAACTAATACAATATAAAATACAATGACTTAAATTATATTATTGTATATACAAAGTAGCAGGTCATCAAATCAGTGTCAGTTGAATCTGTCAAATAAGTTGCCTGTAGGGATTTTTAAGTTCCAGCAGGTGTCAGTATTCAGTGACACAGTATCGATACAGTATCAATACAGTTTGGCAATGTGTTGAAACGCTTCATGACACCTCATCGACCCATCACTAGGTAAAGGAGTACTGACAGAAGCACATGGACTGGCTCATTTAGGACATAAACAGATGGACAGGAAGTTGTACCACTGGTGGCATCCCTTTTTGATGGACATGACAAAAAAAACGTGCAAGAGTGTCAGGCGTGCATCACCTACAACCAAAAACCCACTATTAAACCACAGATGGGAACTTTTCCTATGCAAATAAGACCTGGACAGGAAATGATTCTAGACTACACTGACATGGTGGTTAGAGTGGGAGGCAAAAGGTATTTATTAGTAATGGTAGATGCTTTCACTGGATGACCAGAAGCCTGGCCAACTAAAACAGAGGACAGCCAAATGGTGGTAAAATGCTTGATTAATCATTAGATCACCAGACAAGGTTCCCAGAAAAAAAAATCAGGTCAGACAATGGAAGCCATTTCAAGAACTCAGACTTGCAGAAAGTGGAACAAATGCTGGGGTTGAAACACTCATTTGGAACAGTTTACCACCCTCAGTATCAAGGACAGGTGGAAAGAATGAATCAGAACTTAAAAACAAAATTGGCGAAAATCTGTGCACAGACCAAATTATCCTGGGTAGCAGCCCTTCCCATTGACTTTTTTTTTTTTTTTTTTTAGCCTTTATTTATCCAGGTTAGTCTCATTGAGCCACGAGAACTCATTTTCAAGAGAGACCTGTTTAGGGAGCACATGGTGGGGGTTAAGGGCCTTGCTCATGGGCCCAGAGTGGGGCGAATGAGGGTGGGGGTTAAGTGTGGGTGTTTCACCTACCCCACCCACAATTTTTGATGTTGTCGGGGCCGGGGCGTGAACCGGCGATCTTCGGATCACAAGCCCACCTCTCTAACCTCTGCGCCACCACTCCCCCAGACTTGATGACTGTAAGGAGTTCACTGAATCAGTCCACAGGGTTCACGCCTTATGAATTGTTGACAGGAAGACAATTTCCAGGTCCGGCTGCTTCTCTGACCCTGGGAGCAGACATTGTGAACTAAAGGTACAAACCATATTTTGAACAACTTAAAACCTTGGTGTCAGGTTTTGCATTACAGGTGGCGAGTAAAAGAAAGGCAGGCAAGCCAGAGAACCCTCACACAGCAGAGTGGGTTCTACTAAAGGTCATCAAAAGAAAGTGGAAGGAGCCATGGTGGACCGGCCCCTACAAGGTGACAGAGAGAACGTCCCATGCAGTGAGGCTAAACGGAAAGGGAAACACCTGGTTTCACTGGAGTCAGTGCACAGCAGCAGCTGAACTGGGAAGGTACCTTCAGGACATCCAGGAGGCCCAGGTAAACAAAGGAAACCCCTCCAACTCACCTGAAAAGGGGGACTTGGCTGAGCCCTCCCCTTGTCAAAGCAGACTCTCGACAGAGGGACAGAATAATCCCCTGAGTCTGACCTGTATTTACTGGCTGAGGGAGGCTACCCTCAGTGCATGTAAGGATGGCACCATCTTGTGGGCCTTCCTTGTCTGTACGCCCTAGTATGTCTCCTCATTAATCCTGATTGGTTTCTCCATTGTCGGGCCCCAGCTGTTTGTAATCATGCCCTGTCTTGTCTGTGTATATAAGTCTGTCTGTTAATCTTGTTGTTTGTCGCATCGTCATTGGGTATTGCTTGTCCTGTCCAGTATGATCATTTTACCAGGCCTGACCTGATCTGTATTCCCAGTTTTGTAAGTTTGCTGTCACATCAGCCATTTAATTTATTATCATTAAAAGTATTTATTTTTGTACATACTGGGTCTGAGTCCCTGCCTGCACCACTGGGTTCGTTCCTGCCTGAGAAATCCTGACAGTGCAACAGTGTGACTGGTCTCGGCTGAGACACAGTCTGAAGAGGAAAAGAGAGAAAGGCTTGGCGGAGACATTCTAGTGACAAGGTAGATTCTCGACAGAGGGGCAGAATAATCCCGAGTCTAACCACTCTCCTGGCTGAGGTAGGCGACCCTCAGTGCAGCAGCATTAATTGTTTTGTCTGAAACACGAATAGACTCATGAATAACAGAAGTTTCGAATGAAATGGGTTTGTGATCTAAAACAATAGCATCCCCAATTTCCAGATTAACAACAGATAAATCGTGAGACAGAACTAAGGGGCTGTTTACACGGCGCGTATTTTGAGTGAATCCGCTCCTTTCTCTCTGCGGTTCTGCTGATCATCTACACGACACCAGTGGCCCCCCTCTTTGAATCCGGAGGTTTCTGAATCCACCTTCCAGAGTGGAGGTTTTTCCGTGGCCCCCCCCCCCCCCCACTGATAATGTAACATCTCCCGCTGAGGCTTTGTGTTAAACCACATGCGCACACGCACGCACGGACCAACGCTATATTTCTATCAACATGGCGGTGGATACACTGCTTTCAGAACTACGACTGATGGAATATATTTTTAATCTCGTAGTTAATCTACGTCAGATTCCAGGTGCTGTGCTGTGAAGAGACACAATCTGATCCAGTTCTAATATCACTGTTTAAAGAACGTGGCACATGCACACGGCGCACTGCACTAGAACATACTATGTGCTAAATAACAAGTTTAATAATAATAAACAGTATTTATCTTAAGTTTGTGCTATATAATGAAGCTTTCTGGACATTATGTCATTCAAATTATGTGATTAAAATGATGCTAAACATATTGCATGTTATTAAAGTTGAAAATGAAGACATCAAGTTTAATTTTTATTTTATTTATTTATTCAACACCACAAACTGTATGTCACACAAACACACTGATAATTAAACTGAACACACTATTAAAAACAAGTTAACTGTAAACTACATTAATGAACTGGACTCTTCCTCTGTTTTCATCCTGGACTCTGGTCCCATGTTGTCCATCTAGCTCGTTCAGGAAGTCACTCCTTTGATTAATGCAACTTATTAATATTAATGCAACTAATCAGGTCTCTCTTATCCTGATGCATGCTCAATAGGTCTCTCTTGTAAATGAGTCCTCGAGGCTCAATGGGATTTACCTGTCTAAATAAAGGTTGAATAAAAAATAATACTTAAAACATTGAATAGATTGAATAAAAGAACTGAGGGGAATTTTAAATAAATAGTTCATCCAACGGCAGCACGGTGGTGCAACTGGTAGAGCTGCTGCCTCTCAGCGAG